TTTGTTGGCCTCAGAATTTGAACCAGCGACCTTCCGATCATGGGCACAGAGTTCTACCCCAGTAAGTCGCACACTGCCCTCCACCATGCTTTGGTTATATCTTTGAAACAACTGGCCTAAGGAGCAGAGCCTCCACATGCACCCTGTCTGAAATCCTGCCATCTTGAGGGCCACTTTTACAACACTGGAGATGCGGAGGCGCTGGCATGTGGACAAGGGCACCCGACCCCCTCTGTGGCTAAGCCTACGGGATGGCCTTCCGACTGAGCATATTATTACCAGTCCAATTACTTAACAAAGCCCCACTGGGGGGGGTGGCACAGCAAGTGGAACCTTTTTATGCTTTATTAGGGAATTAATCAACCTACACAGAGCATGCATTGCTGTCAGTTAGGGTTAGATTTAAGATTTAATTTTTTAAAAACATAAGGACATGCATCAACGTAGACAGTAAAGTGACTATAGTCCAAAAAGGTTTGAAATATTTTTGATTCAAAGTTAATCTGTCAGATTACCCATTAGGAAATGTAGCTTCTCCAGATTTTTAGTCTTTCATTAGCTACATGAACAGAAGAGTCTTTATATTTTCTGAAATTATTTTTGGAGAAGTAACATGTGGTTTCATAAAGCCGCTGCAGAGATTTGTTTTTTAGATCCTACTGATCTTTATGAGATTTATTGTGAGATTTTTACCGCACAAGATACCGTACTTTTGGTACTTCAAGAAAGTACTAAAAGTATGATACATCAAGGTGTTGGTTTTCCATTGGCATAAAAACTGGTAGCAGTGCCGATTGATATCACAGCTCAAGGTGGAGAATTTTGTAATGAATTCGAAAAATGCCTGTTGTAGGACTGGACAACATGCGATATTACTCCAACACGGCTGAATGAAGTGCAATGTTAATACCAATATCGCATTTTATGCACATGCAATTCTTACATTGCTAGTCAGCTGTATAAAATCAGGCTTTTTCTTACTGTCATTTCCATACGGACATTTTAGCACAGCGGCTCACGAAAATATTTTTACTCTGTTACTATGTCATAGGAAAAAAAACTTAGCAGACTTTGCCATTTCAATTATTATTCCGTTGATAGATTATCTAATATATGTTTAAAAATCTGTTTAAAGTTTACCTCCGCTGCTTTTGCATGATCGCTGCGGGCGTATTCTAAAACCATAATAATCATTTTCATACTCGCCGTTTAAATCACTCGAAGAGGAGTTTGTGAGAAATTTTATGTTTTAAATACCCCAATATGTTTTACAACAAAATCACGTTGCTAGGACAGTATGCTATATGCTATATACATTTTTTTTTATTTCTTGACATGCCATTCTGATTTTTTTGTTGTATCGGTTCTTTCAACCAGATCACTATATTACTTTATTAATTATTGTTTTCTCTGTTCACAACTGTTTTCAAGGCAGCGTGTGTATTGTATTTCAGAGGCAGGCTATTCGCATAACCAATTGACAAAAAAAGTCCCACCCCAAAGTACCAAGGAAGTATCCCAGTTGGTTTAGCAATTTTGGTACTGGTACTCAACTGGAAGCTGAAGTACCAAAAGCCCATCCCAATGACACTGAAGTATGGCAGTTTCCTCAATGTGATACAACCTGTTATTTTGTCCTTGTCGGGACATTTTTTTCGGTCACCACAAGTGCAAACTCAATTTTACAAATATCTGTGATTCCAATCAAAAAACTAAACATGCCAAAAGTCTTGTACAGACGCACCTCTGCTTATGAACTTTCAACTTACGAACTTTCAGACATACAAACGAAGAGGACTGTAAGTCCAAAATGTGTTCCTTGGGCTCCCATTTCCTGTCCGCAACATGAATTTTTTTCCTGCGCACCAATTCCACCTAGTTTGACTTCTGGCCGCTACTCCCGCCACACAGCAGCGTAACGCACATACTCCCAGCATCCAAGTTCTTTGTACTTGCGTATATCTAGGGTTGCAAAGGGCTGGAAAATTTCTGGAAATTTTCCTGAAACTTTCCGTTCCATGGGAAGTTAAGCTGGGGAATTTTGGAAATATTCCTCATTAGAAACTTTCCATGGGAATTAACGGGAAAGTATGAGAATTAACAAGAATATTCCTAGAATTTTGCAACCCTACGTATATCCTTAAAATGATGTTGAATAACGACGTAAGAACATTTCAAATTACGAACGGCTGCTCGGAACGTGTCTCATTCGTAAGTAGAGGAGTGTCTGTATTTTGTTTGGTTGTTTATGGTTAAGGTTTGGGCAGGATTGGGGTTAAGGTTGTCATAGTTGGGACTGGGGTTTTGAACGGTCCCCACAAATATATCCTCCTGAGACCCCACCCATTCATTTATGTCCATTGTAGTGGACATTTTATTTTTGCATCTATCTTTTCACTCATGTAAGGAAACGTATTTATTCCTGTTGTACACTAAAGAGGACATGCTGTGAAATTAAAAATAAAAATAAATTTGAAAAAATCTAAATTGTAAGTTGTCTTATTTCCTCCAAAGACAAATAACCTAAAATTGAAGGACACTTTTTTCCTCGGGTCTCAGGAGGATATAGATACTAATCTGTGTGTGTGTGTGTGTGATTACATAGGAGACAAAAAGGATTTAAATAGCTACAGCGACGCTGCAGAGAGTGACCAGCCCTTGCAAATACATACCAAACAGGGTCAGCTAAAGGTCCCTGGCATGACCATTCTCTGCCTGCTTCTTCTGACAAAGACAGAACGTGATATGCAGGCCGCAGCCAGAAGGCAACGAGGCCCAGACGGGCACTGTCTCTATAGCCTGCAGCGAACAAGTTAACCCTCAGCTGTGCCAGACGGGCTGATTAAAATTACGGCACATTGTACGTGGATCTTAGGGGAGCTCGTAACACAGCGTGACCCGATGGCATTTCGACATCAACTAACAGAGTTCATTACCGTTCGCGGGAGTGGCTCACTCTGGCAAGTTGTATATCGTGGTTGTCCAAAGAAAACCAAGTATTTCCACTTTTTGACAATTGTGACTTCTTACTACAGATGGAACATGACCTTTCTCCTCTATCTACTGATAGTGTCTGACATCTAATCTACTTTATAAGAAAATGCATTTTTTCACACTCCTAAAATAATGGATTTTTGGAGATTTTGCTGGTAACTCTTCCCCTCTCTGGTCTACAGACCTGGCTCATGTAAAGTCACTTAAACCAACTGGCAGCCACCACTGGACAAAAAAACACAGAGATCTGTATATGAATATGAATATGATCATGTATGTCGTCTTATTCAGGGCAATTTTTTTGCCCGCACATGTCACTTTGGGGACTGGCTCACTGATGACCTTGGCTGGAAGATCCTCAGGTCTGGATCAACTTGGGGTGCCAGGGTCACCGAGGGGGGGTGGTGGCATCCATCAGCGCTGAACGGAGCATGGAAACATGAAGGCCATGCCTAGACACCACCAACACAACCCCTTAAGAGGCCAAGGACATTGCAGCCAAAAGAGAGCCAAAGCCAAAGAGACCAGCAACTTCCCCAGAAAAATAGATGCTCCTCATCTTTATGTTCATTAACCATAAGTAACCAAATAAAACATAAGACTTTAGGCATTTTTATTTTTTCGAAGCCATCCTAAATTGAAAATATCATCAAATATGAATGTGGCACGAGAAATCACACAGAAAAAAACAGGATACGTCGTTAGATACTATATGAGATGTTTACACTCATGATCGCCACAGATACTATAAGCGTGACTGGATGGATGCTACCACTGACCGGCATCAGTAGAAAGTATCGCACATCATATCGCTAGCCCGGGAAGAGATCACAATTAAAAGATGGGTGACAACTGAATGTGCATCTCTATCTCACCATTGAAAAGTCGAAACATCGTAAATCGATGCGAGGAGCATCATAATACTCATTACTTAGTGTTCTTTCCCCATCTCGTCTACATTATCTTGTCGCTTGTGTTGAACGTGCCACCACTGAAACCCTTGATCTTCAGCAGGAGGAAGATGACTGGGACGAAAAAAGAGCAAATGAGGGCCAACTCCTATGCCTAAGATCCCTTCAGAGAGCAATATACTGTAGGTTACAGGATATAGCATCACACTCTTGGCTAGCGAGTGATAGCTGGACTTCCTGTGGGGCATCGCCATAGCACCTGGGCACCAAACATGGACCGATCCTTCCTCGGACTGCATAACCCACCAAAAGGGGCCGAGGTAACAGCGCCGCTGAAAGTGAGGCTTATGGGTTTTCGTTGAGCTACAGGGGATTATATTACCCTTTGAAGAAAACAGGATTTCTTTTAGTGAATCTAAGCCCTTCCCGCCGCTTCCTCGTTCGACGTGTCTTTGAGCGCTCGAAATAATACACGTCGCCAGCCGATTCGCCACGGAGCCGGGCCGCCTTCATCTCGACGTGGCTTCTCCACAGGAGACGTTTTCCGTCGCGCTGAGTAGAGTTTATCTCCCGGAGTTATTCGGTTCCCACTTCGGCCATCTGCGGGAAAAACGCGTCCAGACTCCACAAGGTTCCATTTCCGACGCCATTCATGCCAGAGACACAAACACTAATCATATGCCTGTGTCCCGCATTCAGCCGGCACACTGTTTCATTTCTGTTTATGTATGCGCCTCGATAATCACTGATTTACCTCGTGTCGCGTAAATCAGGAGGCTTCACATCTTTTTATCGACTGTTTAACGGTCATTGGCGTAAAATTCAGACATGCTGTTTACCCCCTCCAGGAATATTGCGGAGGGAGGGGTGTTTTCCAGAAATAACATAACTGCTAGCGCCAAAGCTTAAGAAAGTAGGCCTCAGGCCTGGCAGGTCCAGCCAAAGTGTGTCTGCCTTGCAGGGTGTGTTAGCGAGGACTCTATGCCTTTAAGCGCGGCAGCCGGCAGCATTTGGTTTGCGGCACGTGTCACTTTCCCTCCCCTATGCCGACGAGCGCCGAAACTATTATTAATAGCTCTGCTCTCACTGGAGCGGAGGTCGCAGGCGACACAAGCTGCCTTGGGGCACCAAGCCTTGGCGTCGGGAGAAAGAGCTGGGGCCCCATGCACACTGCTCCAGGCCGAAGCATGCTGGGAGCACAGCAGGGGCCACCGGAACCCCACCTCACAGCTCAAAGACGGGGTAGGAGCCTTTAGCAAACATTTACTGGAACCATAATAGCACCAGATGTTATAAAGCTAACTGCTGTGATACTATACTAGAGATAGAGTAACATGGCATAGTATAGTATGACATAGTGTAGTATAGTATACCATATCACAGTATAGTGTCGTATAGTACTGTGTAGTGCAGTATAGTATAATACAGTGTAGCATATTATATATTAGTATTACAATATTTATCAACCTTATGTTTAGTATTACAGATCTTACAGCAGTGATAGTATAGCATAGCATACCACAGCATAGCTTAGTATATGCTGCAGTATAAGTGCAAAACTAACAGTGGTGATAGTACAGAATAGCATAACATAACATACCACATAATAGTATAATCCTATTAAAACTATGTAGCACTGATTACTGTACTAAATAGTTGAGCATGGTATACTCCAGTAATAATATAGTTTGCTATTGTGTGATATATAGTAAGAAAAGAGTGATACTGGTATAATCACAGAATCTGCTTCAGGTGCTGAATGTAAGGAGCACAAGGTGATCCAATCAGCATGCAGCAAAGCAGATTGTCACAAAACACTACCCTTCCAGCAACGGTGGGCGGGGCATGAGATCCTCAAAGGGGGGTGCGTCCGCTGCATGAGGGCAAAAGTTATATTCCAGAAGGTATGATTTGCATAATGTTACTGCTCAAAACACAAACAAACAAATCTATGCTTTAACCTTTTCATTTTTAAAAATGACACAAAATGTTTTATCGGGTAAAGGTGCAGACGGTGCTAATTTTTCCGTTCTCTCAGGGGACTCCCATAATCCGAAGAAACGCGAACACACAGCTCGGAGCCTGAGCGTGTTAATTAACAGCGATTTGAAGCTGCTGCACAATGGCGTCTTCTGTCAAACACAAAGCAAAGCTAGCAAATAGCTGGGCAAAATGCTAGCCATCGTTGTTTTTTGGTTAACAATTAAATTGTTAATACAAGAAAATGGATGAAACAATTAACACGATATTTATAGCCTGTTCGGCACAAAGGAAAATAAAAAACACCACAGAGCTGAATCCCCGTCTCTCTCCCAGCCAGCAAAAGCTGACGCATGTGTCAGGTTAACAGACACAAGCTTTAATGTTTGTTAGTTTCATTTCACCTTAAGTACACTGTCTCCTTCAGAGTACCAAGCCTTTCAAGTATAACATAGTGTGAATTAAGCACTTCTAAGGTACTTGCTGGGCACTTCAAAGTGTCCATTATTCAAAGTTAGGAAAATTCAAGAAAATTAACAAGTCTGCCACAAAAAAAAGGAATATGCTAATCGGCCAGAAGTAAGGAGCAAAAAAATGTTTACTCTCACAAAAAGTTCTTCGCTCACGCTGAACACCAGAAAAGGACAGCCTCTGTGATTGTGATCAGGTGCCGTCGCAGTATGTCTTCAAACGCCATGGCTGCCTTTGAACAACGTCGTGTTTAATCGCCTCAGCTGGTTCCCCTCAAAGTCTCCTTCACGGGTGAAAGTAAACACTAGGCCATGAAGGAATGCCCTACTTGCAAAATTCACCGATCCACTCCTGTGGAGTCACAAGAATGGTGATGTCAATCAATTAAGTAATGATTATCCCCACCTGGGGGCGCTCTACTTAAACTGTGCACCTCCATTACCCAATCACTGAGTTCTGAGTAGATCTCCGCCAAAAAAAAAAGCCAATTAATCCAAGCTGTGGTTCAGTGAACCTTGCTGGTAAAAGTACTTAGTACACCTTATGCCTTCTATCTCCTTTTTGTTGAGTTTTGGTTCATTAAAATCCCAGGTTGGCCATAACTGTCATTCTGAATGATTTTATTCCCCCTGTAATGAGTGAAAACACAAAAGTTTCCACTACTAAATAACAGCGTGGAAAGATCATTAAGATTTCACTCATTTTCATTAATACTCATACTCATCTTTCTGCCTCTGTTTTGACCTGACAGGTTTCCAAAGCGATGTTTAAAGGCCCTGACTGAAATTGATTTCCAGGAATCATTCTCCTTTCCAGCTAAAAAAGGCATTACTTTAGATCACCTAAACCAGTCCTGAGTGTGCAGGATGACATGAAGAAGCACAGGTCTGCTGCTCCAAGAAAAGCCTCCTTTTTCCCAAAGTAAAAAAAAAAAAAAACACAAAGCAAGCAAACACAATCTTGAAAATCATACTTATGATGCCCATAAGAGTGTGATGTCATCCCGATGAATGAAAGTTCACCACACTTTCATAGCAAATAGCACCTTTTTTGGTCGACCTCTGTAAGTAAAGAGTGTATGTAGAGTCATGCTATGTTGACAGGCTCGGAGTAACAACACGATATTGTAAGTGCTTTTATAGGATTTGGGAGGCGTGGCTGACAGGACGAGATGCAGACCGTGTCAACACGAAACACCATTACAGGTCAGGAAAAGACGGAAAGGAAAAGAGAAACATGCCCCGACAGTGATTTTTTGGTACATTTTTGTTGGAGGGTCTCAATTTAACAGACCCTCGATGGAGGGTGGCAGGTGCCTGCTGGGAAATAAATGTTAAAGAGTTGTCCACCTTTCTGACTCCCCAAAAGCCGCTCTTTTATGGAATCTGGGGACTCCATTTACTAAACTGGGACAGACCCTACTGGTGCATGCCCAAACAAGGGATGAGGACAGGTCTCAACTTCTTGTTCGCTCTGTATCTCCGGTCGCCCGTATACGGTTACTGGGATACCTCTACAGCAGGAAACAGATCGGTTGTACAGACCAAGTCTGATTTCAGCTGCATACATCTGCACCTGAAACCCCTCTCCACAACTCTGTACTCAAAATGCAATTTTATATTTCCAAGATAAATCACATAAATAGAAAGGCGGCGGCAAGCATTGTTTCCTTTTGATTTTCACTCATAGAAAGAAACATGAATAAACCAAAAACCCCAGAATTAAAAAGCTGAGATTGCTGCCTCGATAGGCCCTTTAATCTGCGTCAGGTCAGTTTTCATGACCTTCATTAATACAAGAAGAGTCCCGAAAAAATCTGATCCAAGAGCCATCTTGGATAACAACGTTTCGAAACACTGCGAATATAGTTTCACAATAAACTGATTTCCTACAGCTATAAATCAGAGAAAAGGTTAATTAATCTTGATCGCATAAATCTGATATTTTAAACTGCATCAGTTATGTTTTAAGGAGCTTTTCCCTACCTGGATGTTGTGTTGTGCCAGTCTGGTCAGAAGGTACCAAACTAGGACAGAAGGACAGGGAAACTCGACCCCAGCTGATCCTGAAAAGTTTCATACACCCCAAATAATTCAAGCACCAGTGAATCTGTGGCCAAAAGCCTGGCAATGGTCACCAAGAACCAGAGTGAGCATTCTCTCTTAAATAAGAATCATTTTCTCTACATTTATCTGTAGTATTTAATTGGTTTTTGCGTCAAACTTTGTAGATATATCGCAAAAAAAAACCTGTGCAAAGGAGTCTGAGTAGAAGTTTAATAACAATATCTCTAATACACTCACTTCTAAGGGTTCAGAGAAAGCATATTTCAAGGAGGAGACGCAGAAGGGGAATAGGCAGCAGGAGATACAGGAGGAGGAAAAAGGCAGGAGGAGACGCAGAAGGGGAATAGGCAGCAGGAGATACAGGAGGAGGAAAAAGGCAGGAGGAGACGCAGAAGGGGAATAGGCAGCAGGAGATATACAGGAGGAGAAAAAGGAAGGAGGAGACGCAGAAGGGGAATAGGCAGCAGGAGATACAGGAGGAGGAAAAAGGCAGGAGGAGACGCAGAAGGGGAATAGGCAGCAGGAGATGCAGGAGACGTGGGAGGGGGAATAGGCAGGAGGAAACGCAGGAGTGCTGCTTCATACCTGTATACGGATGGTACAGCAATAAAGCTTCCTTGAGTTTACTTGATTTATTATTTAATTGCACAAAAAGCAGGCCTGAGCTTGTTCTTACTTCCATTTGCTCTGTAAAGAGTCGTGTTCCTCCAGCCGTGAGTGCAGTCAAGGTAAGAAAGTTTAAAGGAGGTGCCCTCTTCACACACGCTGACGACACCAGCCAGATCAGTTTTGGCCCGATAACCCAACAGGTCAACTAATATGACCCGGCGGGACTACCCGAGACCCTCTGGCAGATGATTCATCAGGGCTAAACCTGACTAAGGAAAAAATAACTGCTGTTCACTTCCTAAATAAGGTGTCCGGCCCACTGCAGCCCTCCTGCTTAATGCTTAATCAGGACGACTCATTTGGCATCAGAATGAATAAAAAAATCAGCCTGCAGCCCATTAATATACAAAAACTCTGAGCTGCAGCTCAGCCTCGAGTGGACAAGCAAAGACATCCATCGCAATTGTGTCTTCAGTGTCGGGCTTCATCACACTGGCTTAAGTCTTTCACGTTGAGCTTCTCTTTACCACTTAAATAAACGTGCTAATAGCTAAAGCGACTTTAGCAGAAAGTGGATGTAGGTTCGGTGACGTGTAAGATGATTTTCAATGGAGAACAGAAACAACTTTGAAGTCAAGTCTTATTGGGCTAACTGACCTCAATGGAGATAGTTTTTTTAATGAAATTTCTGCAGTAAACGTATCCTGCCACAAGTGGGATCTAATGATAGAAGAAGAAGGTCTCAGAGGCTGTGTTGGTTCATGGTGGACTTGAATTTTACCACTATTTCTGGGGTGGGAGGGAGATTCTCTGGCCGGTTTGCTGCAGACCCTGGGATTGCGCCAAATCGGGCTGGCGCAGGACCTGGCACCAAAGGGTTTGTAGCACAGTGCCTGGTTGTGGACGGGCCATCACACTGAGTCCTAGTTACAAGGGACCTGTCGACCTCGGCGGCTCTGTCCTACTCTCTTAATCAAAAGCAGCATCAATTAATCAGCCGGTGGGCTGTAAATCATTAGCCCCAAGGCGATTTGATTCAATTACGATTAGTGAGGGAACAATTTGATGCATCAGAATTCTTTGACTTCTGTCACAATTCAATTCGATGAATCAATTGTTTGATTATTTTGATAACCTAAAATCAAACCTTAACCTTTAACTTCAGTGGGGAAAAAAATCATAAATATGGGATCTTTGTCACACACTATTAATAGAATACAAAGAAAGTAGAATTTTAGAACATAAATTTTTATTGTTATTATTAAACATGGAGGGGGGGAAAAAATCATAAATATGGGATCTTTGTCACACACTATTAATAGAATACAAAGAAAGTAGAATTTTAGAACATAATTTTTTATTGTTATTATTAAACATGGAGGGTTGTGTATTAAACATGGAGGGAATGTTAAAGTGTACAGAATAAAAAACAAACAGTTAAAACGAAGCACTATCTGATTGTGGGGGGGGGGGGGGTCCTCGGTTGTGAAACTAGCCAAGCTTGCCTGCACAGATTAGCAGAATGAAGTTACATGGTCTTTTATTCCGTGGAAAACGAAAGATCGATCTGTGGGCCAGATTTAATAATAAATTATAAACATGTCATGGGTCGGTACTTTGAAACCTCTTCTAAGTGGTGAATGAGCTGATGAAATCCCTTCCTCCCCTACAGAAAATGGCCGATCGCCCAACCCAATCATCTCCATTATTTCAGTGCTGTGTCTTTATCTCCGGTGATGCTGACTTTGAATACTGGTAATGTTGTGCATTTTTAAGGCTAACACTACTTTATACTTAGCTAATATTACTTCGCTAGCTAGCTTGCAAAAAAGAACAACTTCTCCATGTTACGAAACAGGGGCGAGTTTCCCAAAAGCGTTAAAAGCACTTACGTTATAAACATTAATGGACCTTCCCTGCCATTCTATGTTTCGGAAATTTGAGTGCCATGGCCACTACTTTGTGCGCCTACCTGCAACACACGAACACGACAGCACAGAACCCTAAAGTAGGAGTATCTTTATTGTAACCCCAAAACTCGATTCTGACGTTGCGGATCAATGCATTGAATCCCCACCTTAATAATCAGTTCATCACAATGCCTCAATGTATCTCGACACCCCTATCAACCAGTAAACAATTAATCTACAGTCTCTTGGTCCGGCTTTGTCGTTTGTACCCCAACCAAGTGAACCAGGTTACTTATAAGAATGACTCAACACCCCAATTAGCCTCCTGTTTTTTCCCGGAAAGGCAGCATTAGGAGCCAAATCTACAAGGGGCCACTTAGTAATTCAAAAAAAGTCTCCATCACATGACTAACTGGGCAAAATAATAACCATTTTACGCGTTTACACTAAAAATAAGACCAATAAAACCAATTTATCCACCCTGAGGTCTACTCTGCTTAATAAAAATTACATGACCATTGTGTTAAAGGTGGCATTTTAGTCAAAAGGCTTTTACAGGAAACCGATTGAGGCACTAATGTAAGACCTGAGGAGAGCAAACTTCCTGTGTCAAAAATAAGAAAGCGTTGCGATGTCGTTATTCAAAACCAGCATTTGTGCTTAGCATGATCCAGAAGTTATTATGCAAGGAAAACGCCACAATAAAATATGCTTAATAGCTTTTACGTATGAATATGAGGCCCTAAACAATTTGCGATCCGAGTGCGTCACTGGCACGATGGATGGATCAAAATGGACAGACAAATTTCAACCAAACAGGAACTAGCATGGCGGTCTGTTTATGGTTTTGAGGTCGTACTGTGCATGTATAATATCAGAGGCATGAAATAGGTTTGTTAAACTGGTGCAGGGACACGAGGGAAGCTCCCCTTGTGCGTGAAGTGGGATTGCACTTCAGCCCCACCAACAGAAACGGGAAGAGAAACTGCCAAGCAGACAAAATGGGAGAATGAATGACTCTCAGGCAGCCGGAGAGCGGCACGGGATCGAATGCGTTGCTACGATACGCAGCACCTAGGTGGTTCATTAAAGGAGCCTCTGAATGAGGCTGATGGTGCTAGCCGCCCCTTTAACGAGACTTTATTGTGCCTGGTGCTCATAATTAGAGTCTGCAGAGAGCAGCTTAGGTGACTGCTGGCTGGTGGCCGTGGTGCATTATGGGAAGATCCTGAGTGAGGCTCTCTGAGAGGGATTCCACTGAAGGTCACCTGTCATTCGCGAGATCTTCTAAGTTCTCTGCCTCGTTATTCATGAACTGTTAAATGATTCATCTACTGGAACTTGTAAACAGGCCAGAAAACAGCTTATTCTAGAAGGTGTGGACCTCAACTGACCAAACCAGGTCAGATACGAACGTGGTTCACTGGCCCAATCAGCCTCCCATTTCCTCCCGGAAGGAACTCGGTCCACAAGGAGCTGCTTCGTTTCATATCTCGAAAGAAATTGCCCGTCACATGACTAACCACACAAAATAATAACCTTCATCTCTGCCTTTGTTAGCACGCTAAAAATACACACCCGAAAAAGTGGGAAGGAAAAGAAGAGGCCACGCTGCGCCAAATCTGAAATGATTCTGGTAATTTCATAGTCTTTTTGAAGATGGAAATCAAAGTGCGGCATATGCCTCTGAGTACATGACTGTGTTCGGGTGGGGGTGGGGCTGGGTGGGGGGGGGGCATGCCAGAGCACAGGCGCAGAAGAGAGA